GATTTCACCATTGTGAGGGTGGACTGGCCTTAATTATTGCAAGAGCCTGGAAAGGATATGTTAATTGTGTTAATTGCCACCACCACAGCAGCACTAATTAACTTTGCCATTGTAACACTCAGGAAAAAGTGAGTTTTTCCAAGTATATATTAATTATATACTTCCAAAGATATATTAATTACCACCACCACAGCAGCACTAATTAACTTTGCCATTGTAACACTCAGGGAAAAGTGAGTTTTCCCAAGTATATGTTAATTGTGTTAATTGCCACCACCACAGCAGCACTAATTAACTTTGCCCATTGTAACACTCAGGGAAAAGTGAGTTTTCCCAAGTCTATGTTAATTATATACTTCCAAGGATAGGTTAATTGCCACCAGCACAGCAGCACTAATTAACTTTGCCATTGGAACACTCAGGAAAAAGTGAGTTTTCCCAAGTATATGTTAATTATATACTTCCAAGGATAGGTTAATTGCCACCACCACAGCAGCACTAATTAACTTTGCCATTGGAACACTCAGGAAAAAGTGAGTTTTCCCAAGTATATGTTAATTATATACTTCCAAGGATATGTTAATTGTGTTAATTGCCACCACCACAGCAGCACTAATTAACTTTGCCATTGTAACACTGAGGAAAAAGTGAGTTTTCCCAAGTCTATGTTAATTATATACTTCCCAAGGATATATTAATTACCACCGCCACAGCAGCACAAATTAACTTTGCCATTGTAACACTCAGGAAAAAGTGAGTTTTCCCAAGTATATGTTAATTATATATTTCCAAGGATAGGTTAATTGCCACCACCACAGCAGCACTAATTAACTTTGCCATTGGAACACTCAGGAAAAAGTGAGTTTTCCCAAGTATATATTAATTATATACATCCAAGGATATGTTAATTGCCACCACCACAGCAGCACTAATTAATTGTAATTAATTGTAATACTCAGGGAAAAAAAAAAAAATCCATCTGCAAGTTTTTGGTAGGATTCTGTAGGATTTTGATCCTGGTAGGATTCTGTAGGATTTTTCCTACATCACATATAAAAATAAAATAAAAGGAGAGAATTCAAATCCCAAGGAGGTCGAGTCAGTGTCTGGGAATGAGGGGAAAATTGGGAATTTTGGGCTCTGCCCAATTCCCAAAAGCCAGCATCAAAATTAAAAAAATAAACCATTAAAGGGTTTCATTAGGAATTTAGGAACTCGATGCTGAAAAGTCCCAAATGTGTAATTTGGAAAATGTGGAAGGATGGAAATCTTGATTATCCCAGAGAAGAAACCTTGTGAGTCAATGGCTGGAACACAAATTCAATGCAAAATTCCCATTTTGCATTAAAATGAGTTTTGGGATGGGGCTGCCCAGCTCTGAGGGGATTTTACCCCCATGATTCTCTGAATTAAAGTGATTTGGAGGTGGATTTTACCTCCATGGTTCTCTGAATTAATGTAATTTAGAAGTGGATTTTATCTCCATGGTTCACTGAATTAATGTAATTTGGAGGTGGATTTTACCTTCATAGTTCTTCTCTTAATTAATGTGACTTGGAAGTGGATTTTACCTTCATGGTTCTCTCAATTAATGTAATTTGGAAGTGGATTTTACCTTCATGGTTCTCTTAATTAAGGTAATTTAGAAGTGGATTTTACCTTCATGGTTCTCCTCTTAATTTAGGTGATTTGGGGGTGGATTTTACCTCCATGGTTCTCTGAATTAAGATGATTTGGAAGTAGATTTTACCTTCATGATTCTCTTAATTAAGGTAATTTGGAGTGGATTTTACCTTCATGGTTCTTCTCTGAATTAAAGTGATTTGGAAGTGGATTTTACCTCCATGATTCTCTGAATTAATGTATTGTGGAAGTGGATTTTACCCCCATGGTTCTTCTCTGAATTAAGGTAATTTGGAAGTGGATTTTACCTTCATGGTTTTCTGAATTAAGGTGATTTGGAGCTGGATTTTACCTTCATGGTTCTTCTCTTAATTAAGTTAATTTAGAAGTGGATTTTACCTTCATGGTTCTCTGAATTAAGGTAATTTGGAGGTGGATTTTACCTCCATGGTTCTCCTCTTAATTAATCTAATTTGGAGGTGGATTTTACCTTCATGGTTCTCTGAATTAATGTAATTTGGAAGTGGATTTTACCTCCATGGTTATTCTCTTAATTAAGGTAATTTGGAAGTGGATTTTACCTTCATGGTTCTCCTCTTAATTAAGGCGATTTAGAAGTGGATTTTACCTTCATAATTCTCTGAATTAATGTAATTTGGAGGTGGATTTTACCTTCACGGTTCTTTTCTTAATCAAGATGATTTGGAGGTGGATTTTACCTCCATGGTTCTTCTCTTAATTAAGTTAATTTGGAAGTGGATTTTACCTTCATGGTTCTCTGAATTAAGATAATTTGGATGTGGATTTTACCTCCATGGTTCTCTCAATTAATTTAATTTGGAAGTGGATTTTACCTTCATGGTTCTTCTCTGAATTAAGGTAATTTGGAAGTGGATTTTACCCTCATGGTTCTTCTCTTAATTAAGGTAATTTGGAGGCAGATTTTACCGTCATGGTTCTCTTAATTAAGGTAATTTAGAAGTGGATTTTCTCTCCATGATTCTCTGAATTAATGTAATTTGGAGGTGGATTTTACCTTCATGGTTCTGTGAATTAATGTATTGTGGAAGTGGATTTTACCCCCACGGTTATTCTCTTAATTAAAGTGATTTGGAAGTGGATTTTACCTTCATGGTTCACTCTTAATTAAGGTAATTTAGAAGTGGATTTTATCTCCATGATTCTCTGAATTAAGGTAATTTGGAGGTGGATTTTACCTCCATGGTTCTTCTCTTAATCAAGATGATTTGGAGGTGGATTTTACCTTCATGGTTCTCCTCTTAATTAAGGTGATTTGGAAGTGGATTTTACCTCCATGGTTATTCTCTTAATTAATGTAATTTGGAAGTGGATTTTACCTTCATGGTTCTCTTAATTAAGGCAATTTGGAAGTGGATTTTACCTTCATGGTTCTCTTAATTAAGGTAATTTAGAAGTGGATTTTCTCTCCATGATTCTCTGAATTAATGTAATTTGGAGGTGGATTTTACCTCCATGGTTTTCTGAATTAATGTATTGTGGAAGTGGATTTTACCCCCATGGTTCTTCTCTTAATTAAGGTGATTTAGAAGTGGATTTTACCTCCATGGTTATTCTCTTAATTAAAGTGATTTTGAAGTCGATTTTACCCTCATGGTTCTCTTAATTAAGGTAATTTAGAAGTGGATTTTCTCTCCATGATTCTCTGAATTAATGTAATTTGGAGCTGGATTTTACCTTCGTGGTTCTTCTCTTAATTAGATTTGGAAGTGCATTTTACCCCCATGGTTCTCCTCTTAATTAATGTAATTTAGAAGTGAATTTTACCTTCATGGTTCTCTCAATTAATTTAATTTGGAAGTGGATTTTACCTTCATGGTTCTCCTCTTAATTAGGGTGATTTGGAAGTTGTGCCACTCCCAGTGCTGCTCCAGCAGGTGGGCAAAGATGACCTGGCCATTCCCACAGGCCCCTGCCAGCTGGGTGCCATCGATGGACCACGAAATGGCAAAAATGCTGCCCGTGCTGGGCTTCTCCAGGGCATAGGACCACTGAAAACATGAAAAAAATCAGAATTTCAGTCACTCTGTGCTTTTAGGAATTAGTTCTTGTCAGGGATGCGTTTGCAGGGTTGGGGTTTTTCAAGCAGTGATAAAATAAATGGAGTTTTTGTTGGGTTGGGGTTGGATGTTTGAGTCAGTTTGGGAAATGAAT